GGCTCGAGGCTCGCTTCCGCCGCCAGACCCAAACCAGCCTCCTCTCCATTTCGCATCCCCAAACTAAACCAAAGCTCCACCTCTCCTCGCATTTTCAGGTAAAGCAAATGCACATCAAACCCTAAATCTTATTGCTATTTTTGTTTGTTCATTTTCATTTTTTCATTTTCATTAACATGTGTGAAATGTTGTGTTGAGCTTGTGAAGGTCGCCTGTGGAGTTGAGCTGCTGTGTGGAGACGATGCTTCCGTACCACACAGCCACAGCCTCTGCATTGCTCACTTCGATGCTCTCTGTCTCTCAGCGCTCCTACGGTTGGACCCCTGAAGGTATTCCCTCTTTTCCTTTTGAGTTATAGCTTCATGATTTCGTGATGGGTATTTGCTGTTTTGAGTTATTTGTGGCATTGCAACTGGAAATTGCTTATCAGCTCATTTACTTGTGGTTGTGTTCAATTTATGTTCTTTGTGTGTACATTACAAGTTGTGATATCTGGGATGTTGGAGCCAATAGGCAAGCTAATTTGTTATAAGCAAGGCCAACTTTTGCATTGTAGTTTTTCTGTGAATTGGTCTACGATTGCTAGTTTATGGTCTGAGGTGTGAGCACTTTTGTTGCTTTTAATTCCACCGTATTTGCCCTTTCATCCCTGAAGTGAAGTCGGGGGTCCTTTAGTGATTCGTTTGGTATTATGTAGACTTTCTTCTTCTTCTTCTTTTTTTTTTTTTGTTTGTTTTGAACCCAATAATATGAAGAAGTTAAATTTAGAAATCTATGCCCAGAAGAGAATGGTTAAGGAAATGATTGGCTCACATGGTCAGAATAATTAACTGAATATATGATCTTCTTTGCTGAGGGAATATGATTGGCTCCCATGGTCAGTTTCATGGTAGCTAGGAAACCTCTATAAAAGATCTGTTTTTTGGCCAGTCCTTATAAAAAATCTAAAAGCGAAGTTTGAGGTTCCAATGAGAGACCTCCCTAAATTAGAATTATTAGGAATAAAGATCCTTTAGCATTACTTTGAATCTATGTTTTAATTTGTTCAATTTCAGTTCATTTCTTTTTTTGTACAAGGTGTAGTAAAAAGTGGACAACTTTACATGCAAAAGAAGTGTAGTAATTTACCTACATTCCAGATGGCCTAATTGTTCTTTCTAAAAATTCTTCAATTTTCTTTTTTTTTTCTTTGTCTGAGGAGGGGGGTGATGTTAGATGATGATGGATGGAAGTGTGGCCATGACATTGAATCAGTGAGCCAATCTTTTTGCCTATTTTCTTTCACAATCTCTTATTTTCTTTGGGTTATCCCATCTTTCTCTCTATCTATCCCCTGTCTTGCACAATGAAAGAATGCATATGCTTTTTCTTTTGTAGGGCAAGACAAGACTAGATGAGGATCAAGCATCAAATATGGAGTGACTTGGATTTGTTTTTGTTGTCGACTTTTGAAAGTGTTCATTGGACTGTTCTCTTCAGTAGAATAGATGAGAAGAACATCAATCTACAATTATCTAGCAAAGTGTTGACTTTTATGTGTAAAATTGGGTTTTTCATTCATATAACAGTTGTATTCCTTTGCATAAATGTGCTTTTGTGCAATTCTTTCAACAATGGTGAATTGAATATCTGATGGTTTCTGCTGATATGAATGTTGAAACTTTGAATGGAAATGCAAAAATTTAGTCAACATGAAAATTCTGGCAGAACTGCTTTTCTTTTTTCTTTGTTATTTGTGTCACCATAGTCATACAAGGATAGTTACAATAATAATAATAATCCTGATTTGTTGTATTCACTCAGATTGCAATGATGATGTATGATGAATATCAGAGGGTTCGAGCAAAGTTTTATGTACTTGCGCCCTAAGACAAGGTGGTTAAATACAGCTTTTTGGTAGGGTTAATAGATGATTCTTTTTATATGGCTGGACAAGGTGGTGCAAAAAATTAATGTAGTTCTTGATGCAGAAAGGAACTAAAATTATGTATGGGTGCTTCCTAATGGTCTTTTGGTTTAAAACAATTTGAATCTGTTTTTAGTATGATGATAATGACAATTACAATGATGATCATGGTTCCTCATAAATTAGTTTAAGGATTGCAGTCGTGCACATCTTGTTTCACTTTCAACCAATGACTTCATTCTATTTTCATCTCTGGAGGAAACACTCAATGTTTCTAATCTAGTTTCTTCCTCAGCAAAGATATGTCTTTAGTGTTGAACTTTCTTTATTTGGATAGAGGATAGGGTAGTCTAGTACTTGCATTTCATGTTCATAGAATAATTTGGGAAATGCCAAGAAAGCTGTTATAACTTGATTGAATGAGCAGAAAAGTTAACAAGTGTAGGCATATGATTCTGATGTTGCTAATAATTTGACCCTTTTTGTGTCAAGTTTCTTAGGCAATAGTTGCACAGTTGCACAAGATTCTTATACTTGCTTAGTTTTAAGGATGATAATAACTTTGCTGCAAATTTTGTTCTAACTCATACCGTGACTCTGGACCTAGAAGATAAAATGTTATAGTTCCCTTTCTGCCACCCGCTTCCAAATCCCTCGTAAGCTTCTTCTTCTTCTTTTGACTGTGGTTGTTTCTTTGTTTAGGGCTGTGATGATTCCTCATTAGCAGACTTCAGACTTTGGCTTGGAGACTTACCTTTTATGTGTAAAATTGGGTTTTTCATTCATATAACAGTTGTATTCCTTTGCATAAATGTGCTTTTGTGCAATTCTTTCAACAATGGTGAATTGAATATCTGATGGTTTCTGCTGATATGAATGTTGAAACTTTGAATGGAAATGCAAAAATTTAGTCAACATGAAAATTCTGGCAGAACTGCTTTTCTTTTTTCTTTGTTATTTGTGTCACCATAGTCATACAAGGATAGTTACAATAATAATAATAATCCTGATTTGTTGTATTCACTCAGATTGCAATGATGATGTATGATGAATATCAGAGGGTTCGAGCAAAGTTTTATGTACTTGCGCCCTAAGACAAGGTGGTTAAATACAGCTTTTTGGTAGGGTTAATAGATGATTCTTTTTATATGGCTGGACAAGGTGGTGCAAAAAATTAATGTAGTTCTTGATGCAGAAAGGAACTAAAATTATGTATGGGTGCTTCCTAATGGTCTTTTGGTTTAAAACAATTTGAATCTGTTTTTAGTATGATGATAATGACAATTACAATGATGATCATGGTTCCTCATAAATTAGTTTAAGGATTGCAGTCGTGCACATCTTGTTTCACTTTCAACCAATGACTTCATTCTATTTTCATCTCTGGAGGAAACACTCAATGTTTCTAATCTAGTTTCTTCCTCAGCAAAGATATGTCTTTAGTGTTGAACTTTCTTTATTTGGATAGAGGATAGGGTAGTCTAGTACTTGCATTTCATGTTCATAGAATAATTTGGGAAATGCCAAGAAAGCTGTTATAACTTGATTGAATGAGCAGAAAAGTTAACAAGTGTAGGCATATGATTCTGATGTTGCTAATAATTTGACCCTTTTTGTGTCAAGTTTCTTAGGCAATAGTTGCACAGTTGCACAAGATTCTTATACTTGCTTAGTTTTAAGGATGATAATAACTTTGCTGCAAATTTCATTCTAACTCGTACCGTGACTCTGGACCTAGAAGATAAAATGTTATAGTTCCCTTTCTGCCACCCGCTTCCAAATCCCTCGTAAGCTTCTTC